ATCACTTGCTAGGCTGCTGAGAGCTGGAAAATGAACAAAAATGACAGAAGAATTTATGCCTTTGAACTGTGGTGTAGGAGAAGAGTATTAACTATTCCAAGGACTGCCAAAAGAACAAAGAGATATGTCCTGGAGAGTGCTCCTTGAAGGCAAAGATGATAAAGCTTCATCCCACATACTTTGTTCATGTTACTAGGAGAGGCTATTTCTTGGAGAGGGACATCATACTTTGGATGGCAGAATTACGATGAATAAGAGGACAACTTTCAACCAGGTGGACTGACATGGTGAGAATGGCACAGGATAGGCCAGGGTTCCGATCTGTTGTTCATAAGGTCACTATGAGTCATACTCGACTTGATAGCATCTAACAACAACAACAAGCAGCAACATTTTAGGCAGCTCTGGGGGCTTAGGAGTAAGGAACTGCACAGCCAACCCAAAGGCATGCAGTTCAAATCCACGAGCTGCTCCTTGGGAGAAAGATGGACAACGTCCTCTCAAGCCATTTAAAGTCTCTAAAAACCCTCAGTTTTGACTTAACGATAATAAGTGAATTGAAGTAGTATAAGGAGTTTCACGAATTGGATAGCAAATAGTTGCATGTTAATCTGCTTCTCACGTTAATTTAAGCAGTTTAAATTCACCAGCCATTTCACTTCATAAAAACGAAGCAGTCTCCTTCTATTAAGACTTACAGCCTCGGAAGCTCAATGGAGGATCATTGTGACTCAGAACTGACTCAACAGCGGTGGGGTCAGCAGCACTTTGGAGCAAGGCTTCGGGGCCCAATAATCACGTGCTCAGAACCAGCCACAAGTCCAGCGGTGGAAGTCCACCAGCCGTTCTCCAGGAGGAAGATGTGATATCTGCTCCCCAAAATTATTACAGGCTTCGAAACCCTTTGGGGCTGTGCAACTCTGTCATACTGAGTCACTGTGAGTCGGAATACACTCAACAGTAAAACGTTTTTGATCAAGCAACACACTGGAGAGCCGGGGTGGCACAGTGTCTAAGTACTCAATCGCTAACCGTCAGAGATTTGAACCCCCAGCCGTTCCAGGAGTGAAGGGCTGTGCCAGTGTGCTTCCATTAAGATTACGGTCTTACAAAGTCTATGGGAAGTTCCACTCTGTCCTGCAGGATTGCTGTGAGTCAGAAATGGTCTGTCTGGTTTGGAGAACACGTTGAAAGATGTTGTAGTATCACCATTTTGCAGATAAATAAATAGAAGTACGAGGGGGTTAAGACACTGAGGTTCTCTCCTTTTTTTTTTGGTCTCCACAGCACACTTTATCACCTGATAACGAGTTCATTTTACACTCCTCACTTATCCCCATGGTTGGGTTCCAAAGATCAGGTTGTTAGGTGAAAATAACCGTTCTGTGAAAACAGAGGATGATTACATCAGAACACGGAATGTAGGCTAACTCAGTCATTATGTAACTGCCACCCACTCAGCAAATCACAGCCCAGTCAACAAGACACAGAACCTTCAGCATTATAACCAGCATTACTCTGGCTTCACACCTCAGGGATCATTACTGTCTGATGTAGTGTTAATGCACGAAATATTCAGATGGTAGATTTTTCATTATTATCATAAAGCACAAAAATTTATGTCTGCTAACAATAGAACTGATAAGAAATAAAAACCCATTGCCAGTGGGTCTCTTCCAACTCATGACCATCATCCATGGGGTTTGTGAGGCTATAAACCTTCACAGAAGGAATCTATCTTTCTGCCAGAGCGGCTGGTGGCTTCAAATCACTGGCCTTCTCGTTAGCAGCCCAATATGTTACACTCAATGCCACCAACTCAAGAGAGGAGTAAAATTCAAACTCATTGCCATCAAGTTGAAACCGATTGATAGAGCACCCTCTGGCTGGTTTTCAGATGCAATAAGTCAGGAGGGAGGAGCCTGTCCATCTTTCTGTCACAGAGTAGCTGGTGGAGTCAAACAACCCACCAGTGGGTTGGCAGTGCAACTCTGTATCCAAAGACTGCCAGAGCTCGCTAGGTGAAGAATATTGTTGTAAGGTGGCCTCAAGTATGACCCGCAGAGATCTATGAAAAACCAATGTGAACACTGTCCTACCCCATGTCAGCCTCCCAATTTCTGACACACTAGAGCCCATTGTCATAGTCAACATGCCTACCCATCAGGTCGAGGGTTGTCTTTTCTTTCGTCAGCCCTCCACCTTCCTAAGCATGATGACCTGCTCCAAGGCATAACCTCTCCTAGCAACGTGCCCAAAGTATGTGGGATGAAGCATCACCATCCTTGCCTCCAAGGAGCACTCTGGCTGCACCTTCTCTAAGACATGTATCTGTTTGCCCTTTTGGCAGTCTCCATGGGATCTTTCTTCAGCACTCTTCTGCGAGACCACAGCTCAAAGGCATCAATTCTCCTTAGTCATTGTCCAGCAATGAAGAAAGTAAAGAATAGGTGTACTTATTAGGTTCCATCCACACCCACTAGAACATCAGCTCCACAAGGGTGGAGATTCTGGTTTTGCTCACTGCTATTCAATTAAGAAGCCTGACAGAACAACAACCAGTACGTGGCTGCTAACTGAAAGGTGAGTGGTTCAAAGCACCAGCCTTAAAGCCTGGCAATACACTCCTGTAGAGATGACAACCTAGGAAACATTATGGGCAGTTTTCATCCGTCCTAAAAGGTCACTGCAAGTCGGGATGGATTACGGACAGTTCCAGTCCCATGCACACATGCCATCACTGAAAGTCAACTCAAAGCACAACACTAACACCAGGGTCTCCAGAACCCTGTGCCCAGCTCAGCTTAGGCATTCAACACATAGAGTAAGACGAGGCCATATGTTCATCTCCACCCTCCTCTCCTGCTCTTGTGAGGGTCTAGCCACCATCCGCCTACTAAGTGAGCTCTGGCTGCAGTTGTGCTTCTTGATTTGCAACCTGCACACCAAGCCGTCATTAACCTCAAGTGCTAGGATCACTGATTGTGTAAAATCAACCCGGCTGGCTTACTGGGAAGCAAACCAAACCACATCTGGTTGTTTCTTAGGCTCTGAAGACACAACCTCTCCTTGTCCCCCTCAACTTAACACTAATTCCTTAGCAGCCCAAGCTGTTGGTTTTGGGAGTTAGCCAGCGGCCCGCCAGAGAAGTAACCAAATCAAGTGTTCGGGGCCAAGAGGAAGGCAATGGGATGAAAGTGGGCCCTGCTGTAACAACAGGGCTTGCTGGGCGTGAAGCCCCATGTCAGATGGTAGGGGTCCTTCAAGGTCATTCCTGACAAGGACCATCAGCATAAAACTAATATTAGGGATCCTCAGGACCTTTAATTCCCTATCTCAAGGAGGAACTAGTTGAGTTCTAACACTTTCCAACATGCCTATGACTTTAAACCCCTCCAGTCAATGCAAACCCAGGACCAGGCTCAAATCCACCAGTGCATTGGCTATGGCCTCCTCCAGTGTTTTCTTGACAGTCAATACACATAATCCACTGCTAGCATGTGGCCCCAGAGCCTATTTCAGATTTTATGAACATGCCCTGGAGAACCATTTCTTGTCTGTCTCTTGCCTTCTTCCTGGCCCCATAACCCCAGATAAAGTCATTCAGTGGCTCTGCTCAGCTCTGCCTGATGGAAAAGTAGGCGCAGCATCAAAGCTAATGCTTTCTAAGTTCTTACCTGCGCCACCTGTGGTAGGCGCTAACTCCTTAGTCCTTTCGGCCATCTCTCTCTTCTTTCTTTGCCAACAATAGCTCAGTTTAACTTTGGGGAACCGCCTGACCCCCCACATCTCCTGACAATTCCAAGAGTGAAAAAATGACTCTGGTCTGGCTGATAAGAGTACTCCATACTCCTGGCAGGAGAGATTGGGTTGGGGGATGAGCACATGACTCATGCTGGGCCAACAGGATCATCTCTGGGACTTCTGCTCGAGCTATCAGGAAAAGGGCCTTTACTAGCAGTAAGGATCAGGTGTGCTAAGTATTGTGGAAGATTTTTTTTTTTAAATAAAATCAACACACAGGAAAGCACAGATAGCAGGGAAGGCGCTGAAGACAGGAGAACAGGGTAGGAGAGAAACAGAAGTTGGTCATTTGATTCTTGATGTAACTGAGCTCTGAATCCAACACCTCCCTGGACTTTGCAGCTGTGTAAGATTCATTTCTATTCCTACTGTTGTTATGTGCCGCTGCATCGACTAAGACTCACAGCAACCCTATGAACAACGGTTCTGAACCCTGCCGTACCCTAAGCCAACCTTACCATCTCCGACATACCTGACCCCATTGCCCAGTACAGTTAAATGTGTTAAATCCATGTCATCTAGGGTCTTCCTCTCTTGTGCTGGCCATCTACCCTTTCAAGCATAATGTCCTTCTCCAAGACAAGCACCTCCTGACAATATGCCCAAAGTACATGTATGGGATAGGGTTTTGAAACTAGTTTTGCAACCAGTTTGGGTTCAATCTCTAAAATATTCCCTCCAAATATTACAACTCTCATCCTACTGAATCCTCACAACAGCTCTTTTCGAAGTAAGAACTATTATCTCAAATGCACAGAAAAGGACACTGATGCAGAGAGCAGCTGAAGAACTCGCACTTATCCAATAAGGTCCCCCAAAGAGCTGTACGCCTCTGGGAGGTCCCACTGACACTGAATTCTGGAACATGATGGGACTAGCCCCCCTTAAAGCTTACAATGCAGCAGTGGAGTCAAGATCCATGCCAGGTCTTTCTGCTCAGCTTCTTCTGCTTTAGCCCTAAGTTACGCCCAACTTGCGCAGTCAATGGCCAGGTCAGGAATGAAGCATCCACAGGTTCCAGTCACAGGTGTCCACAAAGCGTTCCAGAGGTGCTAGAAAACACTCAGATGGTCTGGGGACATGTAGGAACAATCCATCCTTTCAGGTGGTGAGGAAGGTGAGGACTAGACTGAGGTACTGAAGAGACATGAAGCCGAGAGAGAGGGGCAGGATGGGACTGGGGAGGGGAAGCTCACCTGCCTGCTGTGCTTCTCTTTCCAGCTGCACTGGCTCCGTCAGCCTGCAAACAAAACACAAAACATCTGCATGAGCCCAGTGGAAAGACACACAGATTCTACCCCGACAGCCCACCAAGCTCCCGCCGCTCCCCAGCCTGTGGATAGAGCGGTGAGCAGGCTACCTGCCTCCTACCCCATTCTTTCAGGTGGGAAGAGTCTGTCCCCAGTGGTAAGAGGAAATCAAGGCACGCTGCTATCTGCTTGGCCCTTTAAATCCTGCTGTACACCCAGTGCCAACACAAACCCAGCAACCGCAGCGCCCTGGGGACTCGGTGAAAAGTAAGTAACCAGCTAAATCTGGGATTGAATTGCACCATTTTTATTTTCAGCTGGGATTTCCAATAAAACAGTAGCTGCAGATTTATTCTTACCAACCAGAGGGGGGGAAATCCTATTATGTTAAAATATTCTGTCCCCCAACCTGACAAGCTGGCAAAGGCAAGAGAGTATCGGCCCTTTAATCTCCTTTATTTGGGTAGGTGGGGAGGGGGATAGGGAGATAATGCTGACCAAACGAAATTTTCTTAAATCATATAATTCTCGTTCAGATGGAGAGACTGAGGCCCTGGGAGAGGAAGAACCTGCTGGAATTGGCACGAGAACCCAAGGACAAATATCTGGGATTCTGACTCTAGGCCTGCACTCAGGGGAGCTCAGTGAAGAGGTGAGCAGACAGCAGATGGGGCAAGAACGTGAGAGAGCACACCAAAGAAGACACCGGAGAATAGTGAGAATGGTTCAGGCCCAAAGTCTTGGGGCCATCGTGACTTTACAAAGATCATATGCATATGTTCTATATAGTTTGAAGCAGCCCTAGCAAGGTTTTGGGGGCCACAAGTAATCAAGAAAAATGATGTATGTAATAAAACATACGAATAATCGAAACCCCACTGCCATCAAGTCAATGGCAACTCATAGCAATCTTCTATTCTGTTTTCAAGGTTGTAAATCTTTACGAGAGAAGACTGTCACTCTTCTCCCGCCGAAAAGCGTGGTCTGGCTGGGGAATCTAAATCTCTAATTTTTCAGTTACTGTTGTTATGTGCTGTTGAGGTGGAACCAATACATCGCTGACCCTTCAGTTAGTCGTTACAGAGGCTGTAACCTGCACAGGAGAAGACTGCCCATCTTCCTCCTGTGGAACCGCTGGTGGGTTCGAACCATCTGCTTTTGGGTTGGCAGTATAACTTCTTCCCCTCTAGGCCACCAGAGCTCCCTGATCTTTCAGCTTGCAGCCTGATACTGCACCACTATACCATCAGGTTTCCAAAGCAAAATTAAAAAGACTGCAAGGAGACCAAGTAAATCCTGACTTACTGCAACTGTATGTACCTTCAAGTCTATTCCTACTCAACTGATGCTCCACTGGGTTTCCAAGGCTAAAAACCTTAGTGGGGGGAGACTGCCGGTCATTTTCCAAAGGAGCCAGTCAGTGGTGGATTGTAACTTTCCGTTCACAGATGGTACAAACCTTTTGTCTCAGACAAGGACCCTCTAGTTAATTCTACACAGGATGCAGATGATACGTAGCCTCATCTCCCTTCAGGCCAACTTCTGCTACTTTATCAATTAGGAAAAAGTTTTCACTATTAAAGCTTCTAAAATTCCTGGTTTTTTGTTGTTTTTTCTGTAGAGTCGGAACCTACCCATATCACCCTCTGGTGGTTTTTCAGAGTTAGTTAGTTAATCACATGGGAGGAGACTGCCTATCCTCTCGCAGAGCAGCTGGTGGCTTCAAACCGAGTGCCTTTGGGACTGCAGAGCAGATTCTTGCCACTAGGCCACCAGAGCTCACAGACAGCAGCAAATGGATAAAACAAACACAGGAGCAGCTGCTTTTAATGAGTGCTTACCAGAAGCTGAAAGCTGGTAAAACCTGAGGGAGGATTTTGAGTCAAACAATGGATACAGAAAAAAGCAAGAGTTTTTTGTTGATTTGTTGTCGTTGGGTTCTTGTTGTGGGGTTTGTTTGTTTTTTTTCTCTTCTTAATAAAAGGTCTGATTTCCAGCTTCTTTTACAAAATGGGATAGTACAGCAACACATCCAGTCCCATACACTGACAGGCAGGCAGAGAAGCGATGTGACACACAGGTCTCCACACTGCCCACTCCTTCTTGTCTTATACTTGGCACACCTGCCAGATCCCGTGGGCTACTACACTCACTTCCCTGGCTAACTTTCCATCAAGGATTAGTGGGTGGTCATTAAATATCTCGTTGTGTTTAAACCTCACACTAAGTACTCCCCCACCCTCTGTATCCCCACCTTTCAGGTGAAGACAAAAAAGGTAAAAAAAAAAAAAGCAGTGAAGTCTTCTTATCACAATTCTTGTTATTTACAAGCCCAAATAAATCTAAGGAACTCCAAACCCTGTCTTCCTCAGCAACAGAATGTTCTATCTCCTACCAACATTCAGGAGGACCAATCAGGAAACAAAGCAATGCTACATGGAGGTTTGCGAAGGAGAAATTAATGGAATGCTGGTGGATTGTTTTGGTGGAAAAAAAATCAAGAAAGCAGAAAATGCACTGGGACCGTTTCACTGGGAGCAAAAGAATCGGCTCTCTTCCAGCTTCTTTCTGACATCTTGCTTTCCTCCAAACTTCTATGTAAAGTAAGTAGGCAGAAGTTATTTTAATGTTCACATCACAAATGGCAGGGGGTGGGAACTCTGTCCTGCAGAGCTTAAAAACATTGTCAAATCCCAACTGATCTCTCACCTCCCAAACTTAATTCTGGGCACACATAACCTGGCATTCCAGACTCATTTTGAAAGTCTTTTACTTCCTTTTCTTTGACAATTTCACAGTGAGTTGACCAACTCCAGGAGAGCTCAAGCTGCCCAGGGCTGCAGATGGAGACAGAGATTCTCAGCCCCCGTAATAATCTCCCCCTTTGCTTCTATTTCATGAAGTTTTATGATTCTTGTGCATAAGCTGGTATCAACACTCATTTTTATTTTCTACCCATTTTTATTGAACAAAGACAAAATGCTAAACATATTCAAATAATTGTCTAAAAACCTCATTTTGCAAGGCTGTTATTGTTAGTTGCTGTCGAGTTGAGTATGACCCATAGCCATCCTATGAAGAACATAACTGAAACCTGTCCTATCCGGGGCCATCCTCACACCTCCTGACACATTAGAGCCCACTGCAGCAATGTCAATCCACCTGGTTGAAGGTCTTCCTCTCCTCTCTGACCTCTGTCTTGCTGAGCATCCAAGGACTAGCCCCTCCTAGCAACATGCCAAATTGTGTGAGTCAAAATTTCATCATTTTTGCCCCCAAAGAGCACTCTGGCTGCTGCACCCTCTCCAAGACATATTTGTTCTTATGGCAGTCCATGGGATGTTCAGTGCTCTTCTCCAACACCATACATAGCTCAAAGGCATCAATTCCTCTTCTGTCATCATTATACATTGTCCAGCTCTCAGGTGCATAGCAAGTGATCAGAAAGACTATGCTCTAAATCAAATACACCCTAGACCTCAAAAATGACATCATTTCTCCTCAATAATTTGGAGACATCGCTAACTGTAGATTTTCCCAGTGCAATATGTCTCCTGACTTCCTGATGGCTGGTACCAAGCGTGTTAATTGTGGATCCAAGTAAGATGAAGTTGTTGACTATTTTGATCTTCTCTCCATTTATCAGGATGTTGTCTATTCGTCCAGGTGGTAAGAATCTTTGTCTTCTTGACATTGAGATGCAATCCATATTGAAGGCTGCATTCTTTGATCTTCTGCAACAAGTACTTCAAGTCCTCCTCACTTTCAGCAAGCAAGGTTGCGTCACCTCCATAACACAGGTGAAATAGGTGGTGGCACAATAGAAGGAGGGCTACTATGGCTAGGTGTGAAAGGCCCGGTCCATTTGTCAGCAGATATGGAAAAGCCAGGGAGACAAGTTGTCTGGATAGCAGATTGAATAAGAGATGTGCACGCCTGCAGGTGTCAATTTCACAAAAATCCTGATCACAGCACTTAGGCCTGGAAGAGGTGTAGGTAAAAGCAAGGCTAGTCCTACAATAATGACAGAGGATGGGTCTGCAGCTGAGGTCACAGTGCGGACAGCATCGACTCTCAGTTGCAGAGATTTATATGGTCCCAGGCTATTTTTAACATCCTCACAAATACATTAAGGCGATCCCTTCTACATGAATTAGGTCACACTTCTGATGCACCAATTTCATATGACCAACTTATCTTCCACTACACCATTACCCACTGTAACACAATCTGTTTCTCAATTTGAACTGAACTGTAAAAGCAAAGGTGTGGAGTTCAAGTCTTGCCTTTTCCATTTTCTAGCTCTGTGAATTTAGGCAGGGTATCTGCCTCTCAAGGGTCAGGTATCTAAATGGGTGCTGTGATTATGTGTGATATGGTGCTTGCAATGAGGGGTGCACAGCTGGGAGAAAACAATTTTCCTCATCTGCAAAAGGTAAGTAAGAATAGGCCTATATCTCGCAGAATGTGCACGATAACAAAATAAAAAGGAAAATGAGTAAAAAGTACTATGCATCGGTGCAGGAGCAATAATTGATTTATGAACAAACCAATACAATTATGAAGGTCACTACTTATTGGACCAAGGAAACTGAGGCACTCACACACACACAAAAAAAAGACTTGAATAAGATTACACAACAAAGGAACAGCAGAGCTGATCTGGACTGGACCACACGTCTTCTTAGCATGCTTCAGGATCTGAACAGAATCTAATGCTATCAACTCAGCATCTCATTGGGTGTCCAGCAAACCACCACAGACATGAGAACTTCTCCAGTGGAGTCAGTAAGAATGTCATGAAATACAATAATGGACCCAAAGTATATATGCAGTAATTGTTCAAGAATGCTAGCTATTGTAATTGGAGAACCAACTCTGACATTGGACTATCTTCTCCTCAAGGATGTAGGTTCTTGACCAGGTTCTGTTTGGGTATCCTTGTGAACCACAGACTAGCTTTTTCCTTTCCCTGGACCTGAGATTTTCC